TTAGGCCGGACGGAGAGGCGGCCCAGGTGGAGGCGATGCAGGGAGCCGCCCCCTTCCCTTCCTCGTCACCTTTGCTCCATTCATTGAGGCTCAAGCGGGACCAACGGGCTCGCCCCCTGATGTCAGTGCCAACCGCTGGCCCAGGAACCGACTTGTCCGTGTTCCCTCGCTTCTCTCCTCCTCGGTCTCGCTAAGAGTTTTTAGTAAACAAAAACTGGCTAAAGTACTTTTAAAAGTGGAAGGAAGTTGGGGAGTCGTGCGGGAGGAAGGCGTGGACCTTGCGGCTGGATGTGGCTGTGATGTTTTCCCGGAGTGTCCGCGGGGGTCGGCAGGTGGAGGGCTGAGCGGCACCGAGAGCCTGTTAAACCAGGTCTCACTGAGCTAGGTTAATGCAGCGGTTCTCAACCTGGGGGTCGCGGCCCCTTTGGCGGTCGAACGACCCTTTCACAGGGGTGGTCGCCTAACATCCTGCATATCAGATATTTACATGACGATTCATAAAAGCAGCAACATGACAGTGATGAAGTAGCAACGAAAATAATTTTGTGGTTGGGTCACAACGTGAGGAACTGTATTTAAAGGGCCAGAAGGCTGAGAACCACTGGGTTAATGGATTGGCGTTTGGAAAGGCGGCCTGAATGTTAACTAAACCGCACTGAGATGAGGCACGGAGACAGCCACAGTGAACTGTTGGCGCAGGTGTCCTTTTGCAATTGCTTGTCACCGTTAGAACTGCATCATTTTATACATGTCAAGTTAATCTTGCCAGAGTCCAGGGCAGGTGACATTTCCAAATAGTAAGGGTCCGTTGTTAATGTTAGGAATCTTTTTTTTTTTTTGAGAATACATGTCTTAGCGTGAGAGTGAGTTAGTGTCAGAGCCACAGGCATCATTCTAAATATTTCTCACTCCTCAAATTCTCAGGTTTTGAAGTGGGCTTAATGATGGTTTCCCTTGTTTCATAATTTGATTTATGGGATCTTTCAAGCATTGGCCTCAGAGTACATTACAACGAACTACCCTTTGGATAAAGAACATTATGACTGTTGATGAAACAGAGTCAGGAGGGTGATGTGATTTTCCCGGGGTCCCACGGTGAGCCGCACACTGGTGGATACAAAATTAATGGTAGAATTCTTCCAATTTTAGTTCTTTCAGTATTTTGAGCTACCCTTCCTTGCTGACCAAAATACATATACAAAATTAAAGAGGCAAGTGAAATCCATTATTGGTTACTATACTGTATTAACCATTATATTGGCCAAGTATGCACCAATTTGATACATGGTGACTCTGGGGGAAACTAATACTTGATTATCTGTGGCACAGGATGGATGAGTATTGAATTCTAGGAACCAAACTGCTGCCCAGGGAGAGGCCTAGGCCAAGGGCTCCTTAGCTGTCTTGCCCTGTTTCTAAAATAAGTTTATCCACAGCGTAAGAGTTGATGGGATGGTTGGCCATTCCTCAGAAGACCAAGACTTAAGTGCTTATTTAACAAACATTCTGGGTATCCCCTTGGGTCAAAAACTACTAGATGCTGGGAATGCAACGTTGAACAAGTCTTGGTCCCAGTGTTGACAGTGCTTAAAGTGGAATTTAGGCACAGTTTTTCCAGGAGTGGTCTTTTGGCATGTCTGGGTGCGAGCAGTTACCCTGCTTTAAAATCTTTCTTTGCAAGGTTACCCACTGAGAGGGAAGTGATATCCTTTAGGTAAGAAGTGTGGCTCTTCGGTAAGTCAGAGTTCTGAATAATCTGCCTACCCGTGCCCCCATGGGTAGTGAACAACATTCTCTTTTTGAGAGAAAAATCCCTGCCATTTCCTACTACCTGCATATTTCCCACGTTGTGGGACTAGTAAGGCAATGGTATTTTAGTGTTACATTTGCTCCCCCAGTTCATTTATTCATTCAATAAGTGTCCGTTGAGTACCCGTACAAGCCACCCTGTTTGTGTACAGAGGATACAGTGGTAAGCAGGATAAAGGAGACCAACATCAAAGAGGTTAATAAATAATCAATGTGATTTCACATAGTGATAAGTGCCATGAAGAAAATAAGAGGGCAATGGCAGGGACAGGTTATGGTGGACTTCTGCTTTAGCATTTGTGGTCAGGGAAGATGACTGGGAAGGTGACATTTGAGCCGAGACCCCAATGGTGAGAGGGAGCCAGCTATATTAGTTTGTTGAAAAACATGCATTTTGCAGAAAGGGAATTGCAAGCATAAACACTCTGAAACAGGCTTAGCAGGGCATTTTCTTTCTTTTTAAAAAAAATATATTTCTTTATTGATTTCAGAGAAGAAGGGAGAAGGAGAGAGAAATAGAAACATCAATGATGAGAGAGAATCATTGATTGGCTGCCTCCTGCACATCCCCTACTGGGGATCAAGCCTGCAACCCAGGCATGTGCCCTTGGCCGGAATCGAACCTGGGACCCTTCAGTCCGCAGGCTGACGCTCTAGCCACTGAGCCAAGTTGGCTAGGGCAGCAGGGCATTTCCAAGGCACTAAAGAAAGCAGGGGCCACAAGGACAATAAACCCAGGGAAGGGCATTTTGATTTGCTCTTTTGTTATAAATAAAACAACTTCTTCACTATCTTTCACCACAATGACTCTGATCGCCAGACTCTTGATCCCCTGTCTCCAGTTTACAGCTCACTTCTGGCACCTTTCATATCTAGTCTGGAACCTATAGTTAATTTCATCAAGACTCAGAGACTTGGTGCTGCTGTCCTGTTATGCTCACCTAGCAAAACCCCAACCTCGTATTAATCTATGGTGACTCTGAGCTGAGTCATTGGCATGATTGCTCAGTTAATTGGGATTTGTTCATCTCCCTATGCTCTTCCTTTTTCATCCCTGTCCTCAAGGCTATTCCTAGTCTCTACCCACTCACTCTTAACCCGTCCAAAAAATGACTGTTACCTGGGCCTAGCCTCTTCCTAACTTGTTCATGTATCCACACTTTAACAAATGTTAAAGAAGACTTCCCACTGTAGGTGATAACTTGTGCTGATTTTTGAGGGATGAGTAAGAGTTTGTCAGATATACAAACTTTATTCCTTTCCCCCAGTCTAAAAGAATGAAGTGACTGGCCAGTGTGGCTCAGTGGTTGAGCCTTGGCCTATGAACCAGGAGGTCATGGTTTGATTCCTGGTCAGGGCATATGCCCAGGTTGTAAGCTTGATCCCCAGTGTGTGGGTGTGCAGGAGGCAACCATTCAATGATTCTCTCTCATCATTGATGTTTCTCTCTCTCCCTCTCCTTTCCTCTCTGAAATCAATAAAAAGATATATTAAATAAATAAATAAATAAAATAAAAGAATGAAGCATCCTTTTCCTAACTGAGGCTCACCCTAAACTATTCTTAACTCATTCTTTGTTGCATTTTCTAGTAATGCTTTATCTTGTGAGAGAATGAACCTGACACCTGGTTAGAGCTGATGTTTTCTCCGGGGGTGCTTTAGTGGGATCTTCAGAAACTCCTACAGTATTTCTGATCCCTTACCTATGGAAAGGAGTATTTTCTGTATTATTGAATTGTTGTGAAGATTAAAAGAGTTGATATGTGTAAAGCTCCTAATCAGAGTTAATTTTTTGTTTTGTTTATTTATTGATCCAGAGAGAGAGAGAGAGAGAGAGAGAAAATCATCGATGTGAGAGCGGAACATTGATCTGCTGCCTCCTGCATGCCCCCCCATCAGGGATTGAGCCTACAACCTTGGGCATGTGCCCTGACCGGGAATTGAACCAGCAACGTCTAGGTGCACAGGATGATGCCCAACTAACTGAGCCACACTGGCCAGGACCAGAGTTAAATTTTTTTAATTGGATTTTTCTCCTTGAGTCCTAAAAATGCTGAAGCATAACACTTCCATTGATCCTATCCTGAATCTTCCCATTGTTGACCACTTTATTTCTTCTTCTTCCAACCAAGCTTCTTGAAAGATGATCTTTACTTTTTGTACTTTTTCACTTTCCTTCACTCTTTAGCCTCTGCAATCAATGAGCTATTCTTTAATGGTCACCCACTGTGGCATGGCTCTATTCTTGGCTCACTTGTCAAGTTATTGATTTAACGGGTATTTAATGAGCACTCCTGTGAGCCAGCCATTCGTGCTTGGGATTCAGTAGTAAATAAAAGACAAAGGGTACCTTCAGGTAGCTGTAATCTTAGGTAATAGAAGTTATAAAACATAGACTCACTTTAAAAATTAGAAGTATCCAGTTCAGCATTTTAATCAACACTTTGGTCTTCACTCAAAGGTAAGACTTTCCCGGAAGACTTCTGGTTGGCAACCACCTGCTGTGAGAGAAAGGTGTGTGATTGGCTTCTGCTTAGATCTCTATTCCTTAGATTTCCCGTTTCTGACCTTACTGGCTTCTAGATTGGGTAGAGTGGGAGGAGGAAGCAATAGTGAGAAACTAGGATGATTCATATGTGGCTCTCTGAGCTTGGCACATGATTAAAGGTGACTTTGTTTTGTGGGCTCTTTAGAAATTCTTGAGAGACTCCTATCCCAGCTACTCCCCTGACCTGGAGGAATCCTTCTTTTTTTTAATCATTAATTTTTTTCAATTATAGTTGATATACAATATTATATTAGTTTCAAGTATATACCCCAGTGATTAGACATTATAAAACTTAGTACATGGTCATTCTGAAAAATCTCATACCCATCTGACATCATACATAGTCAATATGTCATTGACTATATTCCCTATGCTGTATTTAGGCCCCCATGACTACACTACGACTACTAAATTGTACTTCTTTTTTTTTCTTTGTGTACACATTTAGTTTTATTGTAACAAAGCAACTTGTACACTTTTAACGTTTAAAACTGAGCATCATTGGCAAGCTAAAAAAAAAACAAAAACCAAAAAAAACAAAAACCTGAGCATCATCTTTCCTTTCCAGTGAAACAACAAGAAAATTTAAAAATAAACAGGAACAAAATTACAATAGAGAAATGTCAATTCTGAACAAGATCCTACAGGTTCTGCTGATTTCTCCCATCGAGTGGCAGGGCTCAAGTCATCATTAGGAGAGAATTTTATTTTAAAAGTTTTTTTTTTTCATTTTTTAAACAAAAGAAAGTAGACAGATACATGTTGGTAAATGCTAATTGTCCATATTCACATAGAGACACAGTGTAATCTCTGAGCCCAATATATAGAGAAAGGAGGAAAAAAGCTAGAATTCTATGCACTACTACCCAGGGGCCTAGCAACCTCCAGCTCCCAGCAGAGCTAAGGGAGCAGAAGGTTTTTCTTTTTTCCCACAGAGCACGGTGGTGTTGATTCCATTAAGTTTTTCTTGAGACAGGAAGGGATAAAAATGAATTTGGAACAGAAAGGGGCAAAGATTCTTT